AACAAGCCAACGCTGTAAGACCAAAAGCAAATTCTCATAAAATATTGCTTTCGTAGTGCAACATTATAATTCATTTAATATATACCGATAGGTCCCTGGCAAAGACTTCAGCCTACAAACATTTCTCTTGTGCCTGCTTAGCTGCCACAAGCTCAAGCGCCGTTTTGGCAGTTCATCTGCTCTGCTTAAGCTTCAGCAGCTCGACTCGATGCTGCTGCTGCCAAATCCTTTGTTCTCTGTCAGTGTGGCCTCCCACAAGTTTTGTATTTTTTTTTATTTGAATCTTGTTGAGTGTTGTTGCGAAACTAAACCCATGCGCCCTTTTGGAGTTGCTCAGCTGGCTTTTGTTGTTGTTGCTGTTTCTGTTGCTGCACAGCAAAAATCAAGATCAAAATGTGCCGATATGAGCTCATAAACACGCAGTTAAAAAGTTGTTCAGAACCATTTAAAAAAAAAAAACAGCCCGTTGAGTGTTTCACACGGGATTTTTTTTTTTAATATTTATTTGGTTAGTGTCTTTTATCCAGCAAGGCTGTTGGGCTGCGATTTTTTGGCGCACAACTTGTGCCAACAACATTCTACATGTGTATGTAATTATTCAATTAGGCGCGACTGCTGCGCTTTCGACACGTGTGTGTGCGCTAAAACAACTAGCAGCTGGCAATAAGAACACAAAAAAAAAACCAAAAAAAAAACAAACAACAAGAGCGGCGAACAGTAGTCGCCATTTTGCTCTAATTGAATTTTAATTAAGGTTCACAGCTTGGTGAGCGAAAATAAAGTCCCGCATATGCGCACAGTGCAGTCCGCTTACGATATTGAACTACATTTAACTCAATTATGAAATCATTAAGCTGGCTGAGGCCGCAGTGGAGCACCGGATGCACTTTCAAATGCTTGGAATTGAAACTAGTCGCTGATTAAGCAGCAAAGTGAAAGAACGAACCCAAACGACCGGACTATGCAAGTCATCATTGGACAGGGAAAATTGCCAGGCACCGACTTCATAGCTGCCCGACGTTCCAGCCAGCCAGCAAACGATAATGCTGATGATGGCAATAATGATGATGATATAAAAAGCAACCACGGAACAAGTTTCTGCCTTGAATTTTAGCAGTAGATGCAAAATATAATAATGAAATCGACTTAATTATATGGCAGCTATAAAAGAAATAAATGTACTCTCGTATTTCTTAAAATTTGCCACAGTTTTGACAGAGCGCGTCCGTGCATGTGCTTACAAGTCGCATTATGAATAAATGTTTTACTAGTTTTTTCTTTTCAGCACTACATTTTTTATTATCATACAAGTATAAGCAGGTGTTAGAACATGTCTAGATTAAGGCTAGCCAGCTGACCAGCCAGTCAGTTGTTAATGTCAGTCAATGAGCTACTGCGAGCGTGCAAAACTTCTGCTGCATTTCAAATTCAAGACAAAACTTTAAGACTCGCACACACACACACACACGCGTATGTGTGTGTACACACAACAGCAACTTACTTATATAACAGAGGCGTGCTAACTGCCTGCTCGTCTGCAACACGCCCCAAAAATATTGTATAAAATAAAAGTGAAAAAAAGTAACTAAACTACAGCGAAAAGTGTGTGCACGCCCGCTGAAGGCCATTAAGTTGCCCTGCAGTTGTTGCTGTTACAGTGAAGCATAAAGAACCACAGATCAATCAAGTCTAAGTTGATTAAAAAAGGCTTTTGTAATTATAAACAAATGTGCATTGTTTGGAAAACTAGAGCTTTGTGAGGGGTGGGGCGAAAACTTGAAAACTATTCTATTCAAAATCGTATGGCTTACAAAAAAGACAGCAATAGCCACATTTGGAGATTCACAATGAAGCAGCAAATAAATATATAATAAATAAATACATAAATATATAAATAGTATATATTTTAATACCATTTCTGTCCTCCCTAAAATAGAAGAGGTTGTTCCAAAGAAAAAGAAGATTATAACTTGATTTTAAGTTCAAAACTGAAAATGTTCTATAGTATATGTTTGATTTCCAAACTTTTTAAGCCATTTCTCAATCGTGTTTGAATAAATAAATAAATACAAATAGTGCTTAAGAGGGATATTTCTCTTTGAAGATAGCATTTTAGCTCTTTAGCCAGAACAAAGGCACATACTACACTATACTATTCTGTTGTTTCAGAATATGAAATGTCACTTCTTTGCTGCAGCTACCTAGTTCATTTTAGGCATTGTCTGCTGTATTTTAGTTGGTGTTTGTGTTTTTTTGCTATTGCTGTTGCTGTTTGTGTAACGCATAAATCTTAAGCTAAAGCACAATAGTTTTTTGTTTGCATGGGCCAAACATTGGCGTGTAAGCATTGCGCTATAGCTGCCATAGACATAGCGTCCAAATCAATAAAAAACTTCCGTTGCTGGTGCCAGTGGTGCTGCTGGTGCTGGTGGTGCTGATGGTGCCTGATGGTGCTGCTTTCGGTTATCGGTGGGGCAGAAAGGAAAACGCAGGGCGGTTTTAATTAACACGCGCATAGGTCGCGAGCCCGCCACCACGTGAGACGAAAGCGAAAGTCAGTAGCCTAGGGTCGTGCCTGTGCAGGATAAGAAATATAACAGTAACACCCTCGGCGCACTCATAAATTAATTTTGTGTAATATACATACATACATACTCGAAGGTACGTACGTATGTATGTATGTGGGGATGTGTATGTAAGAGATAGCGGTGCAGTGTTAACCCTTTAAATGCCGCAGGGTCAAGAGATAAAAACCAAATTGTATGTACCGTTTATTTTACTCGTTTCGTTGAATTTGTTGTTGTTGTTTTTTCTGGGCCCAGTTCGTTAAAGTGCAGCGCACACAAACAATTGTGCATTGTGGGCGTGGCGCTGTTTGTTTAGTTTTACTTGACTGTCAGTTGGCAATGTTGACGTCGATTGACAGCTGCCAGTTTTATGCGGTTTTCATGTGCCAAAGTCCTAACAACGTTGTCGTCCGCAACTTGGCAACGACTTGGCCTCGACTTGACTTCAACTCCTCATTCTCTAGTCTCTTTGGTTTGGTCTCTTTCGACTCTTTGGGCGCTCTGGCTTTGGCTATGGCTATGGCTATGGCTTTGGTTTGTGGGCTTGTAGGCTTGGCTATGCGGTTGTTTGTGGACTGAGGGAATGCGGGGAAACCCACTGCGGCGCATTGCGGTTGGTGCATGTAAATCAGCTTTTATGGGGTGACTAAGTACAGCGCTGCTGTCATTGTTGTGGCATGGCGAAAAAGTATATTTATTACACAGCCGCCGTGTGGAACACACATGTAACGTGTGTACGAACGAGTATGTGTGTGTGTGTGTGCGTGTGTGGCAGTGGCAGACTTGTCTGCGTCTTCAATAGCGCATGGCCCATGACAGCAGGCAATATTCAAATACTACATATCTTGATAAACAACTTGCGGCTGAGCAACACCCACGCACGCACACACAAACACAAGCACAAACACACAGATGCACTTCAGTATGGCACAGGGTCTCGACTTGTTTTACAAGTTTCTTATGACTGTTGTAAGGCGTACTCGTGCATGTGTGTGTGTGTGTGTGTGTGCATGAACTTTGTGGCACACTAATTCAATTAGGAAGCCCACGCCCACTATCAATAAATTTTTCAAAACGAGACTCATTCACTTACTTACTTTTTTTTTGCAAAAAGTTTTGCCAACTATGAAAGTATATAAGGGTGTGTGTTTGTGTATCTGTGCGCTAGTTTGCAAATTGTTGCGTTTTTTTTTTTCCAGTGGAAAACTACACTCAGAACAGCAGAAACAATAAGTATTTCAGACAGTTGGACGTTGACGACAACAACATCTATCTGGGTGGGTGTTTCGGGGCAAACCCGCGACAATGGCAGGCGTTTTTTTTTTTTTTTTGTAAATATGTATCTCCCTCTCTCATTGCCTCTCTTGGGCAACAGCGCGTGCAATGCAAAAAAAAAAAAAAAAAAAAAAGTAGTAATAATATATAAAAATAAAATTGACATTGACACACGTGGAAAAAACTGTAGATGCTCGTACATACTACATACATAATAGTATTACATAGTTGTGAGTCGTAGTGGCGACACGTACTTGTATTTCGTCACAGAACACGGTCTGAGTGAGGGTCACAAGCGTAGGAGGCCATCATACATTAGACTATGCACGTACATTTGTATGTGGCTCGTTTGTCAGTCAACATTAGCAGCAACATGTCAGCAATTCAATTTTAAATGCACTCGTTTGCATATCCACAATATACTTGTACATATGTACATTCGCATTAGTATGAGTCGTTAAGGTCTTGTTAAAAGGATTAGCATGGGGAATTGCGTGAGCACTACTTGGAAACTAAAAATTGAGAACTTTGCTCTGAAAGGGTCATTAAAACGGAATGGACATTGAAGACTGAATACTTGTGTTGAGAATTGGTTAATCCATATTTAAAGTCAAGAAAAAACTGAATAAGTAATTTGCTTGAATAAGAATTGACAAGGTGTTCGCTCTTCAGGAATCAAGATAAGTTATTTCATACGTCAAGCAATCAAAAAACGAAAATAAACAGAAGCTCCTCTGTTGTGTTCCAATTTGTAGAACATTTTGAAAAATGTTATAGCTTATTTCATACTATTGCATGGCACTTCCAAATTTATTATTATTTTTGGTTTATTTAATATAGTATTTTACGAGTTCTTTAAGAGCTGAAAAAATGCCAAATTTAACTCTTATTTAAACCATAAAAGTTTCCTTTAATTTTAAGGCTTGTTAAATGGCTTTCAATTCAAACTTTTAATAGTACTTAATAGGAAATAGGAAATGTCAGAATGCACTTCAGGATTTAATCCAATAAAAATGGTCACTTGTGCATTCAGTTTAGTTGTACTCCCCTGAATCTCATATCTTATTATTTCTTATAGAAAGTTCTGTTGGAACTTAGAGTGTAGGATAAGGCCAATGCACTTCTTAATGCATACATTTTAAATTTTTATTAACTCACCTGCGTTTGCGTCAGACCCAGACTCGCTGCCAGTTCGGCACGTTCCGGCAATGCCAGATATTGGGTTCGTTGGAATCGGCGATTCAATTGTTGAAGCTGCAGTGAACTGTAAATTGTGCGAGGCTTGCGCATTTTTTTGCCCTTGCCATTGACGCGTAAGCCAGAGTCCTCGCATTTGTCTGAGATTGAAAAGTCTGCAAGTGGTGGAAAGTAAGAGAATAAAGAACATGAGCAAAATACAAAGGCAGGAACAAAGATCGACTGACTGTAAAAGGCAAACGGTCAATGATGAATTTATAATTGGGGCATAAAAACTATAGCAAGGCAATTTGCGGTATTTAAGCCCTTTTGTGTGCTCCCTCCTCCCCCCATTCCCTGGATCCATTGTTCATTGTGCAAGCTGCTTTGGTATTTTATGACTTATGCATATTTATGAGACACTGCTGTGGGGAATGCATAAACTGTTACTTTTATGGAGCTAGAGCAGCTACTAACTAATTGCAGCTTACATTTTTGGCAGCGAACGTAAAGTAACTTGTAAATGTCATAAAAATAAATATAATTAAAAAACAAGATAAATAGATAGATAGATAAAAGGAAAAATAAAAACAAAAGTTCAAAGCACCCGCCAAGAAAATCGAAATCGAAATTTAATTGAAACTTTTGATGACAACGTTAATTGTTCGTCAAAGGCAAACAGCGGCTATAAACTATCAACTATTATCAAGCGCCAAATACGGACAGGCACATGTGCACACATACGAGCATACTCGTACATGTGTGTGTGTGTGTTTTGCGCCAAAAATTATTGGCGCCATAGCACGTGCTGTGGCTTTAATGACAAAATGGCAGCTTGGAGCGAGTGAGAGAGCGACTCGACAAACGACCACCCAACTGCCAGTCGGCAAGCTACCATGGGCCATTAGTTAGCCTGACACTTTGTCCCTGCTGAGCAGATGCACACACACACACATACATATATACATGCATGTATATATGTATGTATATGGATGCATGCATATGTGTAAGAGCGGCTGGCTATTGGACTCTGTGTGAAATGAGGGCTCGCTCTCAGTTCTTGGCCGCGGTCGCATTCATCAGACAACTACATGCGCCAAAGAATGGTGTAATTAATTACGCCAAACGAAAGCGTAATTACCGCAATTATAATTACAAACAACTGCGCAAACAGACAGCCACAACAACCACAGCAGCGCATATGTGTGTGTTAGAGAGACAGTTTGTGTGTCTGTGAGAGAGTTTGAGACCTCTGCGAGAGTCTTGCGTTGAGCAATTTATTATTAGACATTGTGTTTGCCATGTTTGGAACATAAAATTAATCATACACCCTGTGGGCACTTACAAATGTGTTTAAGAGCATGTAAGAGAGCGTTTCCATTAATGACTTCTGGTACCGATCAGCTGTTTCCAACCAGTCCAAAAATGTATTTGTCATTTTGTTGATGCTGTTTTTTTTTTTTGTTTTTGTTGGCGAATTGCAGCGCTAAATGTTTGGCTGCGAATAAATTTCATTTTCTCTATATATGCATAAAAATAGATTCGAATTCAAGTAGCCAGCCACATCAAGGTTAATTGCCAGCCAACGCGGCGTATGTGTGACGAAAGTCAAGCTGTCTGTCGGTAGTTGACGACAACATTTTTGTGTTGGCGTTGAGCTGAAATTAAAAGCGACGCACATGCGGCATCAACAGCAACAATGACAGCAACAACAATAGCAATGAATTGCTTTTCACTTACGTACAAAACTGCTCAACCAAAACGCTTAAACAGCCCAAAAAAACAAAATATATATGTAAACATATAAAAAAAATGTATATATATATATATATATATAAAAGAAAGAAGAGAAGCTACCCATAAAAGCGAAATAGTTGAAAAATGTCACAGTCAAGCGCGCAATTATGCCAGCAAACAGAAAATAAAAGATATATATGTATATGAAAAAAAATTGTAGCTAAATATACATATAATTTAAGCGAACCTTCATGGAAGCTGGTGATTTTGATCGAATATATAGTGAATATCTGAATTTAAACAAAATCAAGAATTTAATGCTGCATTTATAATACCATAAATATTAAACTAAAAGTTCAGTAGCTTTGTCTGCCTGTACAGATGCACAATAAGGCCAGTTAAATCCTAATAAATGAACAAGTTTTCAAAAGCCAAACAAAGAGGCGACACTAAAGGCACTTGAACCCGCTGTCTACGTCAGTTCAAGTGTTGCCAAATAAACGAAATGTGCGAATTTCATGAAGGCTCTGTGCACACTGTTCTGCTGAGTCGCAAAGGCGAATAATGCTGACATTTTGTGCATCGAACGAATTCACTTTAAATGAGCCCCAGCTTTTAATTCCTAAATGGTACCGTTGGTTGTTACAGGACTTCCATATTACTTAGAATGCAGAAGCACAGTTGCAGATTTTGATATTAAGTACCAAAAATTCATGAACACCTTTCACACTTTAGTTCATAAAACCGATTTGTGTGATTTAAAAAATGTTTAATCTAAAACATTTAAAAGAGAAGTTGAACATTTGGCGTTTAGATAAAATATTTATGTCAAGACTGATATCTTTATTGTCAGTGCTATCTATTGTATTTATCTATCTATTGTACTATATAATCTATCGACAATACCAAATCAAGGAGCTCTTTTTTTAAAATTTATTAATTAATGAATTAGAATGCATTTTGTTACCAAACCAATATTTTTGATTTCAACATTGAAAATTGAATACATAGAACAAAAATGCAATATGTTTATACGTATTAGTATAATTTGCAATTTTTTGCTTTTCCGGACATTTTAAATTTAAATTTCAATAAACATTTTAAAAATGTTTTTTCTTTCTTCCACTGAATTTATATTTAAATTACTTATACATCAGCATAGGTGTATACAATCATATATTTGACCAATTTATGAATACTTGAATCTCGCAGGATGGGAACTAGAATCCCCCAAGCGTTTTTATAAATTTTCTAAATCATTTATGAGGCTTTCTTTTAATTTGAAATCAGAAGGTATTGTACTTTGTAATCTACATCGACAGTCCATATTTCGTTGTTAAAATAATAAATGAATATAGTCCAGTGACCTTTTAATACCATAAACTCTATTTTTAAGAAGGACTTACATGTAAATTCACACTTACCATCCTTTGGTGGACTCGCACAGGGTGGCGCATAGCTGCCTAAGTGATAGCCAGAATATGAATTCTGATGCATGGGCGGGAATGGATAACCTAAGGCGCTGCGCGGACTCGGAAAGCCCGAGTCTTGACCGCCTTGTGGACCAAAGTGTTGATAGCTGCTGCGTATGCCGCCGTATCTATAAAGACATAATGAACAACACGATTATGTTATTGTAATCACTAAATGAAAGTAATTTATTACAGCAATATAAATAAGGGAAGTGCAAAAGTAATTGCAATTAAAAAACTGTCCTCCCAACGTTTTTCATTATTAAAAAATATTTGTTCCCTCTTTTTATGGGGAAATATCAATAGATATTGATAAATCAATATTTTGTGCTACCTATTCATCTTTTTTCAGTATAAAAGTGAATTTTGGTTATCATAAAATAATTTAATAGGATTTAAATGAAATTGAAATACATATCTGAAAAGGGAAGAATCCTTCAAAAAATAAAATAAGTTTAGTTTTGAACGATTTCTGCAATTGTTGCAAACAAAACTCTGCGCTGAAACGTCCGACTACAGTTCTCATTATTCTCACCAACTAACAGAAACTTCCATAGTTTATAAAAAAATAAAAATAATAATGATAAACAAAAAGTAACCATAAACGCTTGCGTGCTACCTACAGATTTATATCGTTGCATTTACAAGTACGAACTACATATTGTGGCTATATGTTAATGATATATACTCGTGTATTAAGTTCATGTGTAATGCAAAAAGCGTCAAAGAAAACTTTTTTCACACAACAAACACGAAACTTGAAACTAATGTGTATATGTATGTATGTAAATGTAAGTATATTAAGCGGAGCATAGACAGGTCCTTTTCATGACTTTATTTACAAAACTATAAAAGTAGACACACAGCAAAATCAATAAAATGTCAAAGTTGTTTCTTGCCAGCCACTAACAATCCAGTCGGTAACCTCCAAAATGTTGCCCGGTAAATATTTTGTTAACACTTTTTTGGGCTCAGACCAAAACTAAAAGTGCGGTGAGAAGCGAAAACAGTTGCACAATTTCCCATCATGCAGAGCATTTTCAATGCAGTTCAGTTTCATGTCTCAGGCCATTTTTTCTTCTTGCTGTATTATGTTAACGTTTCAAACAAATTGCCACATAATAAGCCATAAAATATTCAATAGAGCGGCGCCGCTTAGGTGAAACCGCATCGACATGGTACGTTGTACGTGCATATCTATATACATACATACATACATACATACATACATATATGTATAACTATCTATGTATGCATGTACATATATATGTTGTATGTGGCGCAACACGGAAACGGAAACAACACTCGCAACGCAAACGCAACGGTAACGGCAAACAAAAACCGCAAAGCCACTCAACAATATGGCAGTCGCAGCTGGAAGCCCTGACCAACCAACAACGATTAAAAGTCCAGGCTGTGTGGCGAAAGAAAATGACAGAGCCCCTAACCGCAGAATATGCAATAAAATATGTATAATGAAAAATCGAATCGTGCGTTCGAAAACAGTTTAAGTTATCCAATTCAGAGCGATTCCATAATACTAGGCGTCACTGTACTGTGTAACTTAAACATTTATTGGTCTACATATTAAGCAAAACTCTAAATTTAATTGAATTAATGTTGGGCTTCCGCTACTTTCTACAGACTACTTGCATAGTTCTGTTGCGTTAATCAGTGGCACCAGCATAAAATCGTAAAAGCTTTTGTGATTAAGATAGGAACTATGTACATCTATAAGTATCTATACGCATAGGCGCTGAGTATGATTAATATTCTTCCACATGTACGATGATTTAATAGATGTCTGTTGTTATAAGTAATGATTAAGAAGAAAGTATATTGAGGATGTTAAGAAGTTTCTTGCGCAAGATTTTTATACTATAGATTCAACTATCTACACTTACATTTTTATATGAATACGTATATATGGAATTTATTAATAAATTTGATTATTATTTTAATGTGTATTCTATACTTTCTAAAATACAGTTCAAGCAATTTTTAATAAGTTTAGAACGTTTTATTCTCAAACGGCAGATGAGAGTGGTTTTAGGCTTTTCGATTCCGCTTAGGGCGTATGGCGTTCTAGGAAATTGTACTATTACCAAAAATATAAATAATAATATAATAATCAAGCTATCAATGGTTAGGTTTCAAATCACTTTTAGTTCCAGAAGGCTGAAATGCGAAGAGGCATCTTTGGATGAAAACGATAACAGACAGAACTTTTCAATTTCAAAAAGGGGACTTATTTATTTTTTGATGGCGCTTCGATGACAATTTGAACCAGAATCGAAAAACTGAAACCATGTTCAATTCATTCTAAAGAAAAACATTAACTTTTTAAACTCAAATGTGCTTTGACGAAGCTACTTGTATTAATACAAATTAGTAATTTATAGAAATTAAAACTTGCAACAAGTTAAATATTTGTAACTCTTATCATTTTCCTTAATCAAATTTTATTTCACAATGTTAAATAAAATTTATTTTTATGTTGTATAGTTATTGAACCATACTGATAGTTTTAATAACAATACTAAGCATAGCGTTTAGTCTAGTATTTTAAATGCTTTGGTCTATATATTGAATTTGTAGGCTCAACTTTTTATATTGCTGCAAACCTATTTACATGGAAATACCGAACAGAGTAGCATCTAAGATTATTTTTCATTTGATTTCATTGGATCTACATTTTGAATACAAATCATTAGGGAATTGTTGGCAAGGAAGCAGAATGCTTGGCGCTGGCAATACAAATCGGATTCTAAGAAAATTGTATATTGAACCGGATCATACGAGTAACAACATGTATTCCATTTAACTTTCTATTTCTACTGCCCCGATATCCACAGAAATACTTGAGTTAATTTGAATTTGAAACTGATAAGCTGGCATATCGAAAATTGCATCTTGATTTATTTTGGGCTTGTCGTTGAAGTCAGCCAGTCAGTAAACCAGTAATTTTTTTTTTGTTTCTTAATGTATTGCAGCTTTGATATTGTTGTGTTTGGTTGACTTCAATAGACTTTAATCTAAGTTAAAATTTGCTTATGATCGCATAGGTAGCTTTAGTTTTTATCATTGTGTTGCCGTTTTATGCGATAAAGTCGGTCGACTTTATTTGTATGTTGCTCGAAATTTGTTGTTGTCATTTTTTATTCGACATTCATTGCGTGGCGCACGGCAATTTTAAAAGTTATCGACCAACCTGTACACTGTAAATAAATCCTCAAGATTCGATTGTGTAGTTTAGCTTTACACTTGTTTCAATAGAAAAGCTTTAAACATAAAAATTATTTGCTGATCGAAAGACTATTTGTGAAGGAATACGAACAACAATTTTTCATTTGAATAGCATACTCTTTGATAATATCAAAGGATTCTCCCTTGTGTTATCTAAATTATAGCCAGTATATCATAATTTTTAATTTAAGTTTTGAACTCACCCAGCGGCGGCATGTTGCTGGAGCTCTACAAAGGCCGATTTGCCCGGTATGTTGACGCCCGGCGTAACGCTGGCTGCCGTACTGCCGCCGTCCATATATTTGGGCGTATGCGGCGCATCGGGGGCATCCATGCCCGATTGCGGTGTGCTGGGAGGCCCCTCGTAGGGGCTCCCTAGATCCGTGAAATTAAGCGTGTTGGCGCCTATTGAGGCCACTTTATCAAGAATTTTGACGGCTTTTGTGGGAACGCGCGCGCAAGGAAATGCAGGACAATCGCTATCTGTGTGAGTGAGTGTATGCGTGTGTTGGTTTGTGTGTATATGTATATATAAATGTATATATGTGTATGCAAGTTTTAATTGCACATAAACAAAGTTTTAATTAGAGTTCACCAGTCAATCGGACAATTAAATGTGCGGCAACGCCTCAAAGTGCCAAATGCTCGGACACATATATTTTTGGAGCACGTGTTTAATTTAAGGGCAAGAAGAACGACAACGACAACGGCAACGGCAATGACAATGGCTATGATAGTTTTGTTAAACGTTTTCAGAATTACATTTATGTATAAATTATGAGCTTTGTTGCTGTGATTGTGATTATTTATTGGGCACACTCAATTGTATTAGAACACTTTTTCTTCAGCTGCTGGTGCTGCTGATGCTGCTGCTCTTGTTGTCACTTGAAAACACACTTTAATGCATGGGCAGAAATCTTTAGCACTCGATGTGGGTCAGACGGTGACCCTCCCTTCTGCTTCAATTATCAACAATAATAATCATATAACAATTTGTATGCTTTGTGCATTTAATTGGCATTACAAAATGCGCCACTCTGCAACAACGAGTATGCACAAAATAATCTTTTCATGCTTTTTATGCAATTTACGCGACGGCAATCATTTCGCGACCCGATCTCACAATCTCTGAGAAACGTTGGCGTTTCGAGCCGGCAAAAGCAAAGGCAACAGCTACGGCAACAGACCAGACCAGACCACTTGATGACGAACTGACGAGCTAACAACGACGACGGCGCTGCGACGCTTACGACGGCAACGACCAACCACGAACAAAGTGCGTATACGACTAGGTACGAGCTCTAAGCTGCGATTGCGCGCTGCCCGTCGCTGGCGAGTCGGTGCTGCTATGTCGCCCTGTCGCTCTGTGGTTGTAGCGTGCGACGGAAGCGGCTGCTGCCTCTGAGTGGCGTGTGCGAGAGCGAGCGCGCTGCTGCTGCGACGCTGCTCTGTAGCTGCAGGCACAGCCCACCACCAATGGCATGCCACGGAACCGGTTTGTCAAGCGTCTCTGCCGAGCACAAGTGCTGGCAGTGCTCGTGTGTGTGTGCTTGCGTGCATGTATGCGTGTGTTGGCATTGTCTCGGCAGCGGTTGGTGTTGAAACCGCACCAATACCATAAATTTTATCAATGGTCACACAACAGCGCGGCAGTGGGCTGTAAGGGTTCGGTGGTAGGGTCGAGTAGGGTAGAATTAGGTGAGGAGTGTTGGGTCGTGTTGTACAGCACGGCGTATGCGTTATGCTAAGTTTTGGCAGTCGGTGGATATACTTGTATGCATGCATATATTTGTTCGTCCTGGATATGCTTTGTCAACCCAAAAGACTTTTATTTAGCTACTAGTATATGTATTTTTCGGGCCCACAAAAACCCCAGACTTGGCTACTAAGCCGCCCTCCCCACCCACTTGTCAGCAAATGAGGCGTGGCCATGGCAGACACTTGCCCGCCGGCCCTTTGTATGAGCAACGGCAACAACAGAAACAGCAACACCACCACCAACAACAACAACAACAATGTCGACTGTGGCTTTTGGGATTTTACAACTTTTGTATGCAAATATGTTGTACAGAAATTGTTTGCTACAATTCCTTACATTTTGGTTTTGTTACGCGACAGCGCTGCTGCCGTCGACTGTCTTCTTTGTATTACTTTTTTCGTTTGCCTCTTTTTTTTGTGCACGTCGCTGCCTTCTCTATGGAAAGTGCAAATATTTTGACGTTTTAAATAATGTTGATTAAATGCGAAGGTCTCAATTATTAAATTGATTGTTGAACCTGTAATTTTTTGTTTGTGTTTCTGTTTGTTGTCGCCGGGGCAAGCACAGAAGCGGTAGCAACAGTAAGACCAACAACAACAACAATAAACACTGCAAGCTGTCAATGATGGCACGAATGGCGTCGAAATGAAATCAACAGTTGTTTCGTAGTAAATTAATTAAATTATTTGTTTACGTTTTGTGGCCAAGCCGGTCATTATTTGGGGCAGCTGGTAGTAGTTGTATGAAGAATGTAAACAATAATAATTGGCACCGTATAATTGAAAGCTTTAAGACCTTATCACAAAAGTGAAAAGGGTTCAGAATTTTATTTATACAATGTATTAAGAAATAAGCTGATGAGTAAGACAAGTTTAATGTTGCTCGCATTTTAAAGATAAACAGATATGTATTTCGGTACGACTAGCGCCATCTACATGTGCAAAATTTACCAAACTGGCTAACGCACACATACATACACACATGCATGCAAACACAAATACACACCATGGCATGGCAAACAATATACAAAAGATACGAAAACCAAACCAGTCAAACCAGCCCAGACACAACGCTCACCTGCACAGGTAAAACGACACACACACACATACACCCATACATACATACATATGCAGCAGTACTATGTACACCAATACCAACGCATGCGCGTTCCTAAAATAGGAATAAAAAAAACCAAAAGGCAACAACAGCACGCCCTCCCCCCAGCGCGCAGCGAGAGAGCGAGCGAGAGAGAGCAAGCAAGCAGCCGTTGTGGACACGCCCACAATGAAAGAGCAACAAATTCAAAATGGCGTTGCGTCGCCGTCGCGCTGTCGTTGCCGTTGTCGTCGTCGTCGTTGTTGCTGTTGTCGCTGAAGCTAGAGCTGGTGGTGGAGCTGGAGCTGAAACTCTTGAAGTTTCATTCACAAGACGCGACTTTGTCAGTTGTGGCATTTGTCAAGAGTTACTCGTACAGCTCACAAAAAACAAAAAACCGTTCGGCGCAAGCAACAACTTGCTCAAGAAGTGGCCGAACACTAAACACGCTGCCCCCGCGGCGTCTGCTAACAAACAACAACAAAGTTGTCAACTGCTACTGCTTCTAAATACGTACATACATACACTGTACACAATATTAGAGAGTGTGTGTGCGTGTGTGTGTGTGTAAGAGGATTTCCGCTTTGGGCCGCTTTTTGTAGCTAATATACTGGGCGAGTTTTTTTTCGGTGTGCCTGCTGCATATTCATAAGGCATTAGGCGCTGGCAATTAGAAAGACGCGTTTGAATAAACCTGCGCTTTAAACATTAAAACATTAAAACGTGTTTCAAGTGTTTTCGCGACGACTATCAAACGCACCGCTAGCGATCGATCAATATAGATAGATAACTCTAACTGTTCCATTAAAATGTAAAAGCCAAGACAAAATAAAAAAATACAAATCAACTACCAGCACTTACAACGGCTTAAGTTTACAGAAAAAAATCAAATGCACTTAATTGTAGCAATTAGTTAATGAAATATTTATTAAATGTAAATTATGATTAGCGTCGCTTTTGTTCCATTTGCCCGCGGATATGTGAGAGTGCCAGAGGGACAGAGTGTGTGTGTGTGTGTGTGTGCGGCCCAATTAATTGCAAATAAATCAAGTTGCTGCCAGCACACACGTGCAAATATGTCAAGCGTACACACGCTTGCAAGTCAATCAGCAGCATTCGCATAAAATTATCAAGCTGACACATATAGAACTGCCATTATTCCAATTGGGATTTTAACTAACTGCCAATTAATATTCACTCTTTATTCAACTAACTGTAGACATCTTTGTCTGGTCCGGGGGATAGCTTAAAAGATTAAGATATTGCACCAGTTAGCCAATCGGTTTATAGAATTTCTACTGCTCCATGAATAAAACATAGAAAGGAAAGTCAACATAGTCCCTAATATATATGTAGTAGTATATACTGAATTCACAATACTCATCGTCTTCTTTTTTTCAATGTTAAAGTAAGCACAAGAGTAGATATATAAGTAGAGATACAAGCTTTAATTAAAAATGCTAAGAATTATATTTAAGCTTTTCAAAACACAAGATAGTAATATCTTTGGCATGACATTTATAACATAACTACGTCAAACAACAGGGAGCAGGATGGTTTCTTTTTACATTTTTTGATGAAATTGAAGAGCATATTTAAATAAAAAATATATGTTTGATTTAAATTTGAATAGTTTTGATTTAGATTGGAATAATAAATATAATAATATATAAATATAAAATAATAAAAAATACAACAAACAGTTTTAAACGAACACAAATTAAATAAAGGAACTTAGCTGAAATAGTTTTGTCATATACTCTGTAAAAAGAAAGAAACAACAATTTAAAAGAAATGGGAGCTGCTATTCAAGTATAGTTTATTTCCTTTAAAGGTTGAGAAAGCACAGCTTAAGATAGTTTTCGTGATTATTCATTTTAAACACAATTTTTAATGCAAGCTAATACCTTTAATCTATTCAACAAATCTTAATTGAAATAAGTGGACTAATATTTATTTGATCGAAAAGATAACCATGTTTTCGTTCTGCAAAGGTCATTTTAAGTGGAAACATTAAAAGCTTCACGTTTGATAATTAAATGGATATATCCTTTTTATGATATAAAAAGACTACCAAAGGTATTTTTCGTCTACAAAGCCAATAAAACCAATATGAATCGATGGGCCATTTCTAACTACAGAGTCGAAAAAACAAAATAGATTCTATATTCTACATATCTTTATGGATTTCTTTTCAATATTTTGAAATGTAAATCATCACTTTCGGCTCTTTATATGATGAGTTTATAGTAATGAGATTATATTATTCTTTTTTGTGACCGTTTACTGTAACGGCTTACTAAAAAGCCATTTCAATAAAGAAAGCACTAATGTCTCACTTTTCATTACCAACTACTACCAATTTATTTAGGCATATACCTGCTATGTACATACATATGTATGTATGTATACAAATCACAGACCTTTCACACAAATCTCATAAGGCAAGCAAATACAGAAGCCTAATCGATTTTGTTACCAAATAACATTAATTCTCAAATTAAACTTAGTGCCGCATTGGAGTTGGACAAATGAGACGATTAATTTTATGCATGGCCATGGAAAAGCGAGCGACCCCTATACACGTAGTAGATACGAGTACCTAAGTATACAAAAATCAACGGAAAATTTCAAATGCACAGCAAAACGCCCACAAGTAGAGAAAAGTACAAACGCAAAACGTCAAGGGTTCTGATGGCTGTGGAATCGGCCACGACAACGTCCATGATGACGGACAGACCCAGACCCAGGCCCAGACCCAGGCTAGGCCACGAAAAGGGCAGCAGAGTGTATAAGAAAGGCCAACACGGAAACACCTACAAAAGCGGGTAATAAAAGCAAATGAAAAGCAAAGTACGTGCACGGGGCCAAAGTTCCCGGGCAATACAATTTATCATTTAAATAATAATGTGCCACAAATGACGAGACAGGCCAACGGACAGACGAGGCAGGGACAGTAGAAGCGGCATGAATGAGATGGCAACCACATATAAATCAATCAAACCTGCTCTTAGCCAGTGGTTGTATAGCAAGAGAGAGAGCGAGAGAGGGAGAGAGAGAGGGAGGGAGAACAAGTGGGAACACACAGGGGTAGCGACGTTAACTCAGTCAGTCAGTTAGTTAGTCAGTCAGTCAGTCAAGGCAACTTCTGGGGTTGCAGCAACTCAATGAAATGGAAACTGACTCTCCAGCAACATTTGATGTACTACGAGTACTTGCCGGCCAAATGAAATGCGAAACGATGCGTTCAAATTACAATTTAATGAGCGTACTCTAGTGGTGCAGA